TCATTTATTAATTTTGTTTATCCAAATTTTATCTATGGAAGTATCATTATTGCGTGAGTGTCTTATAAAATAACAACTCGCATTAGTCTCTAAACTATATGATAATTGTTTGTTGAACTTCTATCCATAACAATAAACTCATACTTTTATGACATTTATATCAAAATCTGTCAACCAAATTTGTTTCTTGACAATTAAAACTCATCTTTTTCAATGGTGTGACTATTTTATTTGGTAATAAACTCTGTTTTCAAACTCAACAAAATAGATATAGTTAAGCATAGCTGTATATAATTTGTTATCTTTGTGTTTTATATACATTCCTTAAAACAACTAATTAATATGTTTTGTTGTAATGATGTTGTAGTTGAGTATTAAGAAAACCATTAACTCTCTTTTTTTCTCCATCCTCGTCACCTCTCTTCTCCATTTATAAAATCACCCCCCCGGAACCATGCTTTTTTAATCAAAGAACTAAAGCTTCTTGATGAGCATAAGAGTTTTGAGAAGACGATCACCTCCACGGAAAGAAAGAGCACAATTCATGTACTTTGTGATATTAATACATGTCTCTTAGCGATGCCGAGAACAATTTCAAGTATGATGATCATCAAGATTTTGTCTCCAACCTCAAAAAGGATTTTGACCAAGGAATGCACAAAATCTCCTGAGCTTGAGGTGGAGATCATTGTGGTTGGTGATTCGAGTGAATTTTCACCTGAAGACATTGATTTCCTTAAGACGCAACAAGAAATTAAATTCATCCATTGTGACAAAAAACCTGTTTTGTTGTAAGAAACCACCTCACCCAAAAAGGGACTACGCTAAGAAGACAACTCCAACCGTCTTCTCAGTTCTGAGTATGTATCTTGACGGCAAAGTGGTCGATCGCAAAAGCCCAGGTAGTTTGATCTTTGTTACTCAAATTGACTTTGATTCCGATCCATGTTACTCATTTTGACAAGATTTATTGATGTGTTCTCTATCATAACTTTGTAAGTTACATTCTATTGATATTCGGGGACTTTGATTTCTCCGAGTCCCTCATTTTATGGAGGCAACGAGGGTTTAGGACTCTATTAGCTCAACGGCAACATACGCTTCCTCTATTTCATGAGGATGTTCACTTTACATGGTTTTGGAAGAACCTGAGGATAGGAAATGGACCATCATATCAATGCAAGACTTTTGATGATGTAGAAGACTTCACTTATGACGACTCCCTAATTTTTTGATGATGTTGTTTATGGTCTCGACCCCTGGTTTGACAACAATGTTTTATCACACTTCGGTGTACCTCAATGAAAATTTGTACCTGGTTTTGTTAAATTCTTGATGTATTTGTTGTTCTTTTAACTTTTTTGTATTTGTTTAAAACTCATCTTATTTAACGGTGTGACTTTTTTTTTGTCAACTGCG